CCACGCAACCATGGTGAGCTAGCGCGGCCTGCCTATCCCCCACCCCAACCCCCGATGGCCCGAGGACGCCGGGCAGCCTAGCCTCCTCACCCTTCTTCCCGCACCCTCGGCCTCTGCCTCCTCTGGCTCGGCGTTCCCCATCCAGCAGGAGCGAATCCTTTTAGGGGGCATCCTTTAATCTCCCTCCTCTCCGGTGACACCCTTTTGTCCCTCCCCCCCGTGACTGCCTCCTTCGCGTTCTTCACCCCTCCAGCCCCCGTCCTTAACCTTTCCCTTTTCTCCTCAACCATTCTCCCTTTCTCTGTGATCGTTAGCCCCCCTTCCCTCCCTGTTTTTCGTTCCCGCATTTTGCCTACTTTCCCTCCTCGCCCCCCTTCCTCTCTTCACCATTTTATCTCCGCCGCCCCCTCTTCCCCTTGGTCCTAGACCATCTGCATTTCCTCTGCCCCTTGTCGGATGTCCTCGTCGCCGGCTTGCGCATCTGTCCCTATTTCCTTCTTCAAGCTTCAGGGGTCTAAGCAGGAACAATTTGAAGGCGATTGCTTCCCGGGAGCTGTTGGGCGGGCACGAACAGATTCGTAGCCTGCCTTTTTCCCTTTTCTGTTTTGGAGGGCGGAAGCGGGGAGATTGGAGGTATGGAAGAATAGTCTGGAAGCTTCACTACCTAGTGTCATTGCAAGAACCTGAGTGATAGTGTGTTACGTAGTACATATTGTGATCACTTGGCCTTTTGACAGAAATATCTAAAAAGGTTTTGAAATTTTTTGAGTGTGTTTTCATGTGGAGTTACACTTTGGGAGATTAAAAGCCTTTTTTTAATTTGCAAGCTTGACAATTATTGCTCAGAACAAACGATTTGTTTTTGTTGGTAGGCAGAGACCAAGGGCATGTGAGGTCTGAAAATCAGCTTGGCAGTCAGTCATATTGTGACAGGCTTCTGAATTCCTTCCTTCTAAAGGGTGCATTTGTTTTGCCCTTTCTGTCCTTTCTTAGAGGAACCTTTTCTTTGCAAATTTTCCTTGTGCTTCAAAATGGCTGTGACTACAGTCCATTTTTTAAGTGAGTTGAGTTACCTGTGTTTTTCGGTATGTATTGAAAACATTATTCCATCGTCTACAATAAGCTAAATTTTGATCTAAATTCTAGTCAAAGGAATAATACATTCTAGTCAAAAGAATTCAGGCTAATCATAGTTTCCTAGTTTCTATTTTCCTCCATCTGATTTTTAGGAAAGTAATTTACTGTCTGGCCATTTAACATATAAACACTTGACTCTGACTTTCATACATTGCCATTCTCCAGTGACTGCCTCCTTCACTTTTATTACTGTCATTGTGTGCTAATCTGTTCCTTCCCATGGAATGTAGATTCTGGAAACAACTGTGCCTTACTTAATTCCCTTTATTTCCAGTGCCCAGATCAGGTAGATACTTGAATGATTTGGTTTATGGTCTCATTTCCCCACCTGACAAATACAGTCTCACACTGAAATTTAAGGCACCTAGCATATTCTTCAGGGTGAGCCAAAACATCTTGCTTTTGTTGCAAAAAAGAATATAGTGGGATTAGTGTAGTGACAAACTAAAGAGCCATCTTGCTGGAGAAGATACTAGACTGTTAGACTTTTGGGAATGTGGGCCTTCAAAGGAGTCATTTGAGCTAGGCCTAAAGGAGGAATAGAATTTATTTTTTTTATTTTTTTAAGATTTTATTTATTATGTATACAACATTCTGCTTCCATGTATATCTGCACACCAGAAGAGGGCATCAGATCTCATAAGGGATGGTTGTGAGCCACCATGTGGTTGCTGGGAATTGAACTCAGGACCTTTGGAAGAGCAGTCGGTGCTCTTAACCTCTGAGCCATCTCTCCAGCCCCCAGGAATAGAATTTATATGCAATATTTTGGAAAAAAGAAGAAAGCTTCACTATAAATTTGAGTAGAAGGATGAATGAAATTTAAGATGTATTATGAAAGCTAGGTATGGTGGTAAATGCTTTTAGTTCTAGCACTTGGAAGGCCAGCTGGTCTACAGAGTGAGTTCCAGAACAGTAGGGACTATACAGAGAAACCCTGTCTCTGAAAAAAAGAAAAGAAAAGAAAGAAAGAAAGAAAAGGAAAAGAAAAAAGAGGAAATAAAAGATTTGTAGTGAAAGATTAGCTTTTTACCGCCGGGAAGAAATAGGATGCGTAGTAGGAAATGAGGTGGGAAAGGTACTGTCTTAGTCCATTTAAGTTGCTGTAACAAAATATCAGCGGGCAAACTTATAAACAACAAAATTTTAAGAGTTTTGGAGCATAGGATATCCAGGGACAAGCACCAACACATTCATTGTCTAAAAGGTGCTTTCTTTTTATTTTCTCTCTGTGTTAACGTATATATTATATGTACATGTGTGTGTCAGTGCTCATGTGCATGTATATGTATGTATGCATGTGTATGTGTGGAGGCCAGAGTTTTTTCTTCTAGTTAAAATTTCTTTTAAAGTTTTTAAATGTGAATGAGTGTTTTCCTTGTGTGTGAAATGTACTGCTTCTGTGCCTGGTGCCTGTGGAGGTCAGAAAAGGGTGTCAAATCCCCTGAAGTGGAATATTACATGGTTGTAAGCATGAATTGAACCCTGGTTCTTTAAAAGAGCAAGAAGTGCTCTTAACTATGAGTTATCTCCCAAATCCCGGTATTTATTTAGTTTTTTTGAGACAGAATCCCTTCCTGAACCTGAAGTTTGCTCATTTGGCTGGGCTGGTAGGCCAGTGAGCTTCAGAGATCCCAGCACCAGGTTATAGGCACACATTGCCATGCCCAGCTTTTATGTGGGTGCTGTGGATCTGAATTCCGGGCCTCATGCTTTCCAGAAAAACATTTATATGACTATCATCTCCCAGCCCCTTCTTTTACAGCTCCCCTACAGCAAAGCCTCAGTGTAGCCCAGGCTGGTTTAAAACTCGCTATGTAGTAGAGGATGATCTTGAATTCCTGAACCACCTGCCTCAGCCTCCCTAGTGCTGAGATTTTAGGTGTGTACCACAATACGTGGTTTATGTTGAGCTGTGTTTTGAACCCAGACCCTTGTGCATGCCAGGTAAGGACTCTGTCATCTGAGCTATATTCTGAGTCCTATCCCCTTCCCCATCACCTTTTTTATTATATTTTATTTATTGTATTTTTTCAAGACAGTTTTGCTGTATAACCCTAGCTGTCTTGAAAGTAGCTCTGTGGACAAAGCTAGCCTCGAACTTAGAGATCCGCCTACCTCTGCCTGCCAAGTGCTGGGATTAAAGACACCACCATGCCCAGTGTCTAGTGGGAGTTTTTGCCCTGGTTCATAGATGCATGTTTTCTCTGTATCTGTATGTGGTGGATAAGCAAGGCTACTCCATGGGGCTTCTTTTATATACTGGCACTAGTCTTATTCGGACTAGCTGATCTAATCACTTTCCAAAGGTCCTACCTGCTTAGGCTAGAATAGGCATTCACCTATGAATTTGGGGGAAACACATTCAGACCACAGCAGATAATTGAGCATTATTGTGTTTTAAACTTCAGCTAACTTGTTGTTCTTGCTTGTTAAAATATGTATGCACAGTAAGAGTGTATGGGAGGGGTGAAGAGGGAAAATACTGGCCTGTTGTGAGCTGGAAATTACTAGTAGGGGCTACTCTTTTGTTTTTGTTTTTCTTGCACAGTACATTTAACATATACTTAGTAAATAAATGATTATTATAATGCTTTGTAATATAGATATTTCAAATGTTATGGTACATTTTTGATACTTCATATTTAAGGCAGAGGTTCTCAGTTTATGTGAATCAGGAAGGGTTTGCTGGCCTTCCTACCTCCAGAGTTTGATTCATTAAGTTTGGAGTTGAGTCTGAGAGTTGTGTTTCTTACAAGAACTCTTGTAATGCTGGTACTTCAGACCTAAGATACAGCCCTGACCTTTCATTCATCTAATAGTGTTTTTGCCATTTGACTCTGTTTGTGTTGGGAGTATCATGTTTGTGAAACAGGTGTGGTCTCTACCTTTTTATATCTTTGAGAATGTGAAGGGTTTTAGCATTCTTAAAATGTGCTAAGACAGACATGGTGGCATCATGGAATATGATAGTCAGTGTGGCTTTGGAAAGGATCCTTCTTCCAAGTGGAGACTTGAAGAATTAAATTATAAGAGTTCTGTTGTGGACAGGCTAACGTAATGAGAAGGAACCACATGTGTAGTGGACTTGCAGTCAAAGAGATTCAGGGAAACCCTGATTGTCCTGCCTGCTCCTCAAATGACAACAAACAAAATAGCAGCAAAAAACCCCTAGGTCACACCCATCTCTGTTATGCAGCTCTTTCATAGGATATATCTCAATTGCTATATTTTTATATTTCTGTTATTGTTGATTATTAGAGTCTGCCTCATCTTCAGAGTATAAAACGTTGATGCCGAGATGTTTTTTGGCCAGCTGCTAAGAACTGGGCAATATTGTATAGGCACTTTGGTTACAGTGGTTTAAATAAACAAACAAACAAATAAATAAATAAATAAATAAAGCTGGGCATAGTAGCATAATCCCAGCACTTGGGAAGCAGAGAGAGGCAGGAGGATCTCTTCGAAATTAACGCCAGCCTCATCTACATAAGGAGTTTTTTTTTTTTTTTTTTTTTGGTTTTTTGAGACAGGGTTTCTCTGTGTAGCTTTGGAGCCTATCCTGGCACTCACTCTGGAGACCAGGCTGGCCTCGAACTCACAGAGATCTGCCTGCCTCTGCCTCCCGAGTGCTGGGATTAAAGGCATGCGCCACCAACGCCCGGCTACATAAGGAATTTTTTGTTTTGTTTTGTTGGTTTTGTTGTTGTTGTTGTTGTTTTCTGAGACAAGGTTTCTCTGTATTGTTTTGGAGGCTGTCCTGGAACTTGCTCTGCAGACCAGGCTGGTCTCGAACTCATAGAGATCTGCCTGCCTCTGCCTCCCAAGTGCTGGGATTCAAGGCATGTGCCACCAACATTCTGCTACATAAGGGGT